GAAATGAGTACAGGCCAGCTTTCATTAGACTGTGCCGCAATCCGTATCACTTATAAGCCATGTCCAACAAGTCACACACAAACCACACAGCCACAAATACACATTCTTTGTTTGGAGTATGTGGCTGCGCTGAAAACGACCGCCATTTAAATACGCAGCGTTTTCTGCGCAAACTCATGGTACCTGTTGGCAATGGCGCGAGTCCTCAGTCGTAGGGTCCACAAGTGCCTGTGGGCCTGCTTTCCTAAGCGACGTAGCTGCAATGGACGATTTGCGTTTGCATTATTGCATGATTGATTCAGCAACATTGGTGGGACTCCCTGGCCGACCCGACCGATGGCTGCCGGGATGCCTGACGGAAACTGGGTGTCGTGTGCTGACTTCCAAGGGCGTGGGTGTGGCATGAGAAACAAACTTTGTCTGTAAGTTAGTTTTTCGTACCGCATCATGGGCTGAATCGCCTGCAGCTTTCATGGAAATCAGTGGGTGATAGACTACCCCTCGCTCGCTCTCTATGCGCGTTTGGGTGCTGGGCAATGGCTGTTCCAAATTCCTAAGGAACCTCATTTTATTTGGTTCAAGAAGCAATCGTTAGCCCATTGGTGTGACATCAATCAGAACCTGAAATAAACGTTGCCACAGCACTTGCCAGTTTCGCGCCACCTGGACATGCGATGATGTTGAAGCTGATGAGACGGCGTAAAGCGGTAAAAAATAGTGGTACGGAAACATCATTTGATAAATTCTTCTGTAGTGAGCCCGCGATCTGCTCACTAAAACAGAATCGGCGACTGTCCAGCTTTCAAATTTTGCCTCCCATGTTTCGACTGCGGTTGGAGGGTTGTTATGCGTTTCCAGTGCAAGAAAACCACACTTGCCACCACTGCAGGTGCTAGATCTGTTTAATTTCGCCACTGCAACCTGTCACTGTCGCTGCACTGTTTCTATGCTACATTGTACTACATTCTGTATTCAGAATCTAAAAACACATCCCGCGTAGCCACTGGGAGTGCCGCTTTGCCGCAACAGCGAGCTTCGCTGAAAAGTTACTGCGTTTACATGATCCTGTTATGGCACCTGTTGCAAATTACTCTTCAGTCAATGTGTCAACTTTACCTGACATCGTGTAAGCCAAGAAGTTCGGATAATGCATTTCATGGTAACTATGTCTCGCTTTTCTCGCTGAAACAGATGAGTGAAGAACGGCTGCCAGACGCCGGCAAGATACGGTGCGTTCGCGTTTTGTCGTTTTACTTAAGCTGCTGGCCGCCGGTGGCTTGGTGATAAGCCTGTGGCGTTTTGACGGCGCAAAGGTGGGATGGTAATCCTAAGCTGATGCATGGACGTGGAAGTGCACAGAATGAAGAAAAAATGGGCGCTGAATATAGGCAGTGAATCAGTGCATCCTATGGTGTTAATTTCGTTATGATCTTGGCCATAGCTTTGAGAACAGCGTGTTGTATTCGACGCCGTTTTGAGAAATGCCTACACGTGAATTGACGACGATGTGTCGACCAACGCTTGGAAATTCGATTCACGCCTCTACATGCTCTGGCTGCCGAGCTAGCATGTAGAAGCCGCCAGGAAAACTGGAAAATAATAAAATACGGGCAAAAACGGAAAAACCAATCCTCGCCGCGTCTGTGCACGTAAAATATGGCACGTGCCACTGCAAATATGGTGCCACACGATTTCTCATTCAATTATCTACTCAAATATGCCAAGTTCCTGTCGCTCCGATCCCTGGTCGCCGAGATGTGGCCACGGTTTCGAACGGCTGCTTATCGACTTTGTCACCGGTCACATTTTAGGGCCACGTTTGCAGAACCAATGGGATTAAACATGTCCTCCCACCAAGTGTCACGTCCAAACTCCGGGCCGCGGCTGCTCGCGATCTACCCGCGACAAATCGCCTTGTGCGCCTGCGCGTCGTGTCAAAATGTCACTGTTCAGCGACCCGCCGTTTGGCCGGTGAACGACGCGATGCTAAACGGGGCAGACGGGCAGACACACACTGAGCTAATAGTGCAAAGCGTCCGTTTCCCGCCCGATTACGCCAGTTACGGGAAACTACGCTCCCACAGAATTGCAGTAGATCATAGTCGTTGTGTTGCAATTTTGCAATGAAGTCAAATCCACGGCTCATTTCGAAGCGAGCCAACCCAATTTTATTCATAAGTTATGCGGTCGTCGAACCGCGTTGTATTACCCTTGCATACCTGCCAGCTGGGCTGGTTAGCCGGCTTGGCCGTGTAGTCATACTGTTTCTTAGCAGTGGAAAACTTGGAACAGAACGACTGCAAGTTGCCCAGCAATGTCTCACGCAATTTGGGTACGCGCTGACTGGCATACGCATCCCTGCACCATTTCCTGTCGAAACGTGCCACCCCGAGTCGCTCCGACCCGTGATTGCCGAGGTATCGGCCCGGAAGGGCAGGCAGAGGCCGCGTACGACTGTTGATCGCCACCTTGGCCCACCGGCTGGAAAACAATCCGACGACGGCGGCCTATCACGGACACATGGGCGCCGCCAGCCATGTTGCTTGAAACTCTTCAGTTACAGCCGGAAGATCGAACAGCACCTTCGCATCGTGGCGTAAAAAGTCATGGTGCAACCATTACCCTAAATAAATTTGCAAGCGAAATATTGCACGGAACGGTATACAAAAGGGTAGTAAAGAGTGGGAACGAATCGATGGACACGCTGGTGCAGTTTTGTGTATAAAATGCTCGCCATTTTTACTGCAGGGTTTTGTATTCGGCGGTATTTCTCGAAATCCAAATATTCGTTAATTTTTCGATAGTGTGCGACGCAACCGTACATCGCACAACCTCGCGATGCGCCCTAAAATTTTAGCTGGTACATTTTATAATGCTTTGAAACACAGTTTACGATTCTGCCTGCCCTTGGCGCCTAGATGTGACCCAAAACGTCAAAAGCAGAAAATTTCATCTGCCAGCTCAAGTGCACGTGCCACGTGCCATGTGCCAATACAAACTTGCCAATACCCGATTCCGCATCCGATTCCTTGTGAAGCCGTGCAAATGTCGTATGACTCCGACCTCTCGTTGCCGAGCTGTGGCCACGGTTTCCAGCGGCTGTCCGGCCGTTTCCCGCGGGTCACATTTCCAGACTTTCCCATGCAAACCCAACGGGCTCAAAAACGGCACACCTCACGCGAATAGCTTAGGCAGACATGAGCATGAGGTAGACAAGCTGTGAGCTACGCCAAACCCTCTCGAGCAGCTCAATGTACATATTCGCAGGCAATCAACGCTCGTCGGCGACACTGGCCAAACACATCCCTTCCAAGAGAAAGCAGCTGCAGCCGCCGCACCCACCAGCGGCATTGCGTCAGACTCAGCCCAGTCCGCATCGGTCCGGTTTAAAGGATAATTGGTCGGAGGCCTAAATGTAAGAGCCTTGATGTCGCTCCGGGCAGGAAAGCTAGACCCGCCAAAACGCTGGGGTGATATAGTTCCCGAGAAGAGCAAAATCTCCGGATTCCGAGCAAGTATACCCTTTGAGAGACGTTCGACTGAAATAACCGTTCAGTTGGGGGGGGGGGGGGGGCATCTTTAGTCTGGCCTTGAACTACAGAGGGCGGATCCCGTAACCGGTCTGAAATGGCCACACGGTCTGGCATAGTCACCCGCGCCGGCTTATGTCTCCATGCGGTCGAGGTTCGTGGTTATCAATGTTACACACGTCACGCAACATCGCTCCTTCGGGAACGTGGCGCTGCGAGACTTACCACTTCAGCTCCGGCGTGGGTTGGGGATGGACGGACGTATGCTACGCGCGATCAGCTACGCGGCCAAAGACAGAAGCGCATGTTGATGGGAACACATTTAGGCTTGTGTGTGTGTGTGTGTGTGTGTGTGTGTGTGTGTGTGTGTGTGTGTGTGTGTGTGTGTGTGTGTGTGTGTGTGTGTGTGTGTGTGTGTGTGTGTGTGTGTGTGTGTGTTTCAAGACCTAGTCCGAACCTGTAGATTGAACAGCTCTCCGGGGTCTGAGCCCACGCTTATCAGCACTTTTGAGTACACCCTGATCCCGCCATCCGATCGTAAGATTCCGGGTAATCGGCGGGGTTTTGTGACATTAAACGTGCACAGTAATACTCGGCACGATCCGACGTACCTCTGATGTCACCGGAACTTTTGTGCGGCCGCTGCCACCGGTCAAGGTCAGGTAGGTCTGGGGCAAATGGCGAACGCTTAAAGCGACTTGAGCCAACCCCGTCACAGGAGCCTAAATCAGAGCACATGTTCTCTAACCGGCTTGTGGAAATTTCATACAATCGGTACAAAAGGAAACGCTCTCAAGCAAACCAGCTATAACCGGTTTGGAAACATGCATGTACGTGGCACATTGCTAGGTCTCAGTGAAAGCAAGGAGGAAAATATAATTTATTTTTCAACGATCACAATTGGCGCAAATATACAGCGCAAAGGTGATTTCCACATAGACCAAATGATACAACCTCGCTGCTCTCCTTGTCACATGTGTAACACATTTGAAAGGTAACGTTGAGCTCACTTTCAGGAATATGATTCAGCGATAGACCCAACTGCGAAAACAGCAGCTTCAACAACCGCAGTGTCTCATTCCCGCCAACCTCATCTGAAGTTCGAAATCAAGAAACCCCGCCGCTGGCCACAGAGACGCTTTGTTCACTCCGAGTGGGCCGCCATCTCACGACGGTCATCACGCCTCCGCTCATCACACCGTTCCGGCGCTGCTAGCAAGCGGAAGCGGAAGGCGTCCAGCGTTCTACTTATAACGACGGCTCCCGTCCAGCTCCAGCTCGGTTCTGTCAGGTTATTATCGCTTTCCGCCCGCTTTCTACCCATCTTCTGTTCGGCGCCTGCCTGCCCCCTGTCCGACTCTTGTCCGGCTCCTACCCGGCTACTGCCCGACTCCTGCCCGGCTCCTGCGCGAGTCCTACGCGAGTCCTGCCCGGATCCTGTCCGGCTCTAGCCCGGCACCCGGCGCCACCATGTATGGGCTGTTGCTGGAGAATCTAGCCGAGTTCATCAAGGTCGGCTACGGCGAGGACCAGTGGGAGGCGATCCGGCGCGAGGCCATGGTGGACATGCCGTCCTTCTCCACCCACCAGGTGTACCCGGAAGGTCTGCTGCCCCGGCTGGCCAAGGTCGCCTGCAAGGTGAGTCACTAAGGGTCCCGTCCTGGCAATGACGTGTCGGAGAAGCTGGTGTGGAATGATGCTGCTCTCATCTCCGGCAAAGCGGCTTATATCATATTACGTCACAATTGCTGGTTACGTCACCATTGTTGGTTACGTCACGATTGTAACAGGTGTAACAAGACGCTCAATGGTGCCAAGAATTGGTTGGTGTGGTAAACAGCGTAAGATCATATTTACCACGGCATATTTCCGGCACGAACGCCTTTAATCTTCACCCGGAGTAAAATACGCCATAGAAAGGCAATCTGCGCTGCTCGAAGCAATTCAGCAACCCATAATCGCAAGATTTCCTTTGCAACGTGCTGGCCCTTATTGCTTTCACTGATACGCTTCCGCGATGGAGGCTGATGACCGGCTTATGGTGGCTTACGAATCAAATCCCCAGTGTTGCCAGGTGCGCGCCATCTTACGCCGGCAGAGTTTACACAATGTCACGGACGGATGCTGTGAGATGTTTCCCTACGCTGGCAGCAGAACTTTAACCATTAGGTGTCTAAGTCTTCGATCCGAGTACAAATTCCTGTAAGTGTAGGTTGCATTTTGAGTAAGTGATGAGCGCACGTCAGCGCCTGTCGTCACCATCCTCACCGGCAACGTTGGGGTGTCGGATCCATACTCGGAAAATTTAGCCGACTCGATGTTCCGGAAAACAGTTTGAAGCGTTCAGTAGGTTTTGACACGTAATCAAGCAGACTGTGTCAATAGATCTATCATGTAGCGATGAAAAGTTAGTCCGTAGGGGCTGAGAAGACACCACATCTTGGACCAGGAATCCCCTATCATTTTTGCTTCATTCATATACGCGCTTTAAGCAAGGCGTTTTTGTTAATAATCTTTTCAAAGTATTCATGATGAGCCCATTTACGTTCTGTGGCATGCATAATGTACAACATGTGTTCAACACGTTTTTGCAAAGCTACCTGGCAAACCTGGCAAACCTGGCAAAACACACATTTGTGGCTGGTTGGGTAAACAGCCACAAAAATAAACAGCTGCAGAAATAAGCCGCGTGAAATGAAATAAGCCCTCATTGTTCTCGTGACTGAATTACTCAAACTGTCCAAATGTCACCAAACAGCGGAAGTCGTTCGTTTCGTTTGGCACAATGCCAAACTTAGCCTGGGGAAATAACAAACACGAACATCAATCTTGGGAAACATAAACCCCACTGGCGGCAAGCAATATGGCCCAAATATAACAAACGTCTGGTGCAAATGTCACTTATTATTCTTGATTGGCAATAACGGAATGTTTGGGTACCAGCCAGCATCTTGTTTTCTTCGAGTCATGGTAATGATGACCTCGCGGGAAAGGTCACGTGCCTGAGTAGCGTCGGCTTGGCCTTGGTCCGTACGACGTCGAGGAAACTAGGTCCCCAATGGGATAATGGAAGGACCCTTCGTCAGTCATGGCCTCCAGCAGGGAAGAGGGGGCCTCCATCCCATCTCAGCTAATGGCCCGTTCAGCCGAACTGAAGTCTCTGTGTCAATTATTGGACCACCTGCGGAGATAATGAATCTTGTCGCGTCAATGAGGGCCCCGTATACTGATCTAGGGCCAACTGCCCTGGACAGAGGGCCTTCCGCGTCAAGGAGGGGACCAACGTATGATGCCGCCGTGCCGCCAGAATGGCAGCCAGTGGGCACTCCACGCTTGGACAGACTGGCCGTTCATCCCTTGGCCAGGAATGATAAAGTGCTCCCAGTGTTCTACCCATGGGGACCCTTTTCCGGAAAAAGTTAAGTGGTGTCATTAGTCTATAACAGAGTGGATCGAAATTAAGTCAAAAATGAAGAAGGGGCCCGCCCATGAACGCCCTGTTGCCGAATTGACTTGTGACTCAAACGGCGTAAGCAGCGCTGAGCACGCGCACTAGGAATCTTAGGAGCAAAAACAGTTACGGCCAGAGTTGCATTGCCCGGACCACCACACGCCACTACCCGGCGGGCGCCTGGCGCGCGGAACGACCGTCGTGAAATAATGTTCCCGGAAGTCTCTCAGAATCGATTCGTACCGTTGGAAGGTTAGACTAGGGCGTATTTCACATCTGCATAATTTATGACTGCCTCTGAACAGATTAACAGCTACAGCAACACGAAAAATAGAGGATAGAGGATCTTCCCTCATTATTTCAGTATCTATGCCAGATTCTGGCACCAGTTTACGGTGCTGTAGATGTTGATCCGTTTCCTTCATCAATCTAGACATTGCACAGATGACAAATACGCCAGGATTGCCTTTTAAGCGTACCAATTGTTGCCCCAAATGGTTCAAAGGCGATTCTTTCAGATGCGTCATCATTTTCGTCCGCCCACCGCCCAACGCCTAGTGTCAGACGTGGGACATTCGGAAACAGCAACATCGGACGTCGGATGATTGTTTCTTAGACTCAGAGCGCGCATGTTCAATGCTATGTGGCATGACTTTTATGCATATAAATTCTGGCCTAAGGCTGAACATTCTCCGGCGAGCACGGGCTGGCCACGTGAATGTAGGCCGCATTCCGATCTACAGTCAACGTTCACGTGGTCCTCAGTATACCTGTAAAATCCAAAAAAATCTGACAAAGGCATAAGTGCTACCGATTTAGAAAAAAATCCACTCTACCATTGCAAAATGAATTGCACTGGTGGTTTATTTCACGCAATCATTTAACGCCCGCTCCCTCCATAACAATGTCTTCAAAATAAAAGCAGAATTGCATTTTCCGGAGACTCTTCTGGCTTCTCTTCCAGTTAAAGAAAATGAAAATAGAAATGACACGAAAAAGTCGCATCCTTGAAATCCAGTGAGCTAAATCTAGTGATTTTTTGGGGGGAAGGCCTTATAAAATCGAGATGCCCTTAGACGGCGCAGTCCCCCCCCCCCCCTGCCAAGGCTCTGGCTGCGCAACTGAATGTCAGTCATGAGCATTACACCACTGAAAGAGGAAATATTTTTTGTGGCCTAGACCTTACTTGGCACTGCTGTGTGGGAGACGGTTTATGGATGCTTCATGAGCACTCTCCACCGTCTTCCAATTTTTTTCGAGGACCATTTCAGTTCAGTTTTCCATAAGCTCTTCGTACTCACTGCGCTGCCTTCTGAGCGTAAAAAACTGATGGCTCACTGCAGACGAAAACTTACCACATGTTTGCTGTTTTTTCGATTATGTGCATGAATCAGCACAGAATGGGATGGGTGGATTGGTGCAAAAGCAGAACTATTAAACCTGAGCGCCTCTCCTAAAAGGCGACAGTCATCGCCGCCAGAGAACCCACGGCACACCGCCCACGCGTCCGGCCTGCAGGCTGAGATGGGCCAGGCGTCCGCCGCCGCTCCGGTTCACACGTACAGCCGTCTCCAGCAGGCGATGGACCCCTGGCCCCGGCGACACCATTCATTCGTGCTGAAAACTGCCTGATTGCAAAGATTGTAGAAAGGCTTGGATTTTTTTTTGCGCTACTGGCTGCCGAGTATAATTTTGGAAACCGTTACCTCCGAGATAGATAAGGGGCTGTTCGTTATAAGTGAACTCACGCAAGTTTTTGGTGATGTGATCTGTTTTACGCGGCACCGACATGCTGTTCTGATGACAGTGAGAATAAAGCAGTACATACATACATATAAATGAACGTTTTATGACGTCATGTAACTGTCGACTTGAGGTGATCCATCAGCCTTGTTTAAATGAGCAGTAAAGTTAGTAATTTTATTCAATCAGTTAACTTTAAAAATCTTTCCTAGCGACAGCAAACGGCATCTTTCAGTAATGGCTATTTCAACACCAATGACGCCATTATCATCTCTGTATATGCATTCGTTCTTGCCAGAGCGGCGCGGTGTGCCTCGAAGTGCGTCATTAGGCATTAAGCAAAGCCAATCGCGCATTTCAACTGGTCAAACCGAATGTTTGAACGATGGAAAAAAGCAGTTTGTCTGGGTAAATACCCCACCGAGGCATTTTCAGAGATGCTGCCAGCTTGTTGGCAGTTACCGCAGCCATTGTTGCTTTTACTCGTGTTTCGAGATAGTGAGCGCGATATCTAGAAGACCCGCGAGCGCGATCATGGTTGTCGAAGAGCGCAATCAAAGGATATCGGTGGTGTCCAGCCTCGGAGACTGCTTTCGGAATTCTGGAACCCTAAATATGTCCATAAAAAAGTTATTGATATGTTTAGGTGAGACATGAGTTTGACTGATCACTTCCAGGTAATATATATATATATATATATATATATATATATATATATATATATATATGTATGCAAACTAAATATGCAAACACATACTGCGAGCGTGCGTACAAAGTCGACATATCAAACGGTTACTGAGTTATGGCTCCTAAAAGTCAAAATGTCAAATAGGAAATATTTTGAAAGTTCTATGGATTTTGACGCTGTTGTGTATTCCCTTACGAGCCTCCATGAACTGAATATGTGTGATAGAACGTCTGGGTCTGTTGGTATAGTGAGCTCAGAGTACGCTGCTGTCCGCCAACATGCCGGTATTGCTGGCACATCTCGAAGTATGATCCTCTGCATTCCTGGGTGATTTTGGACCGCCTGGTTATGTTCACCTGATAGTCTGACCGAACGGATTGTTTCTGATGACCTTGTGTGGTGTGAAGTCACACGTGTGCCTCCATTGAAACTTATTTCTTTATGCTAACATCACCTATCCTGGATTTGACCATGCTCCGGAGATGGGGTTGGGCAAACCTGAAGCAGATGGGTCAAACTCTAAACAACCTGCGAATGGGATCAAATTTTCGGGTACGATGATGATGATGATTTGGGGTTTTAGGGCGCATCGACTGCTGTAGGTCATGCAGCGCCCATAAATTTTGGGGTAACTTGACCTGAAAATGGCATTATGAATATAAAAACCTGAAAAACGTGAGTTCAACGGGGAAAATTGAAGGGGCAAGGGCCATTTTGGAAAAGTTGAGAGGCATGTCTTCTTCAGCGGTCTCCCCC